CCAGTACCTAGTATTGGTAGGAAAGTAACGTGTTATGATCACTAAAAACCCTTATATATATATCATTGGAATATACTACTAATATATATTATATATATATATATATATATATATATATATATATATATTATATATATATATATATATATATATATATATATATATATATATATAAAATTTTTAATGGAGCTGAACTTTTAAGAACGTCATTGTGAATTTTACCTATTTCAGAAATGTTTTTATATTTTTACATATGTCCATCTTTACATATATATCAAATATTTTTTTATTTTGTTATTTTAAATTTGCCACTGCGTTGGAACGCATCAAGCAAATTTGTTGGCGTTAATTATATCTTCTTGAATTCCTGATATCTTCTTAACTTTTCAACAGATCTCTAGGCCACTGCCTTTTTAGTCGTCTTTGAGGCTCACCAGGTAACAGGGAGGAAGATAGAGATAGAACGAGTGGATTTGGATGATTGAGAGTAGAAGTGTGAAATGTTGTGTATTTGTTGTGTATGTAGGATTTTACTTTTGGTATGTTCATGTCTTTGTGTATTGTGTGATTTGAAATAAACGAAGGAGCATTGACAATTTTACGGAGTATTTTGAATTGTGTGGTTTGAATTTTGTTGATGTGTGTGTGTTTTGCGGAACCCCAAAGTTCTGCTCCGTATGTCCAAATAGGTCTTAGTATAGTGGTGTAGATTAGTCGCTTGTTTAGTAAGTTGAATGGAGATCTGTAGTCTAAAAGATGTGACAGTTGTTTGTATCGTCTGGTCAGTTCTTGTTTTTTTAATTTAGTGTGAATGTTCCAGGTGTGTTTTTTGTCCTAGTATAGTCCGAGATACCGTACATGTGTTTTTGAGGGAACTGGTTTATTGTCTATTATCACAGCAGGACACGAGATTTTCCTCAGGGAGAAGCTAACATGAGTTGACTTGCTGGAATTGATGTTAATTCCCCATAGTCACTAATCCCCATCAAATATAGTTGTTAAAATTGCACAATTTTCTGATTTCATTAAATTTAAGGAATTTTCGAAATAAACCGACGATGAAGTAATAACAGTAGAAAGACAACAACAGAACAAACATTTAATGAAGAATTAAATCAAGTGTAATAATGTATTATAACAATCTTAAAGGCAGCTTAGAGATTTCCGATTCAAAATTCCTTTATTCCTCCATCCAGATTTGGAGGTAAAAGAAAGACTATAAGAGATCACAATACTCTCGCCCAGATTGCTGTTACTTATAATCTGTCCTTAATTGAGAAAGATTGTAATATTTTCAATAAAAATTTATTTAATCCAGCGATGTCTGTAATAATGCCACAATAATTCAGGACTTGAGTGGGTGATGTAGGCCTTTGCCAGAACCTGTAATAGCTTCTTCGTAAAATGAATAAAATATGGCAGGAAATAGATATGAATTAAGAAGATGAATAAAATTGTGTTGGGAGTTTGAGAATATGAATAGAATAATGTCATGGAAGTATGGGCTGTTGAGTTGAACGTTATGTTTGTGATGTATTGTAATATGTCGAATTGGTATTCGAATACGTTTGATGTTTTGACTAAAAATTATTGACCACAGACATACACAAGATAAGTCCATGTTAGTCATTTGAAAATAAAAGGCGAGAGAAGCCTTATCTTTTCTATCACTCAAATTATCCGAAAGTATACAATTCTTGTTTCTACTCAAGAAAAATTTAAGAAAAATGACTGACGATGAGAGGATAAATAGTCTATGTTTTTTTAGACTAGCGTTCGAAGTTTCCTTCCTACGCACTCCCTCTCATCTGTATAAACTTAAATCATATCAATACATATATATTAGTAGTTAGTAATAAAAATGTTATATTTTTTAAAACTATATAACGAAACACGTTTAATGAATCAACAACTAATATCATTGACACATTATAATATCTGATGTATTAGATGTATTAAGTATATCAAATGCCTATGTTATAAATGGAAAAATCAAAACAAAAAAGCCATGAGACTCCAAAAGTATCGGTGAATACTGTTACAGACATTTGGTTGGCTTCGTGAGATGTCTACAGCAACACTTTTCTTTTGTTTTTTATTTTTATTTTATTGTTTGTTCTTCCATTTAAGTAATCTTGGTCATTTGGTCCTAATGATGCCTGCATTGGTGAAACGTTAAATAGTTAACTATCCACCTGTATATCTGGAGACTCATGGCTTGGATTTTTCCATTTATAACATAATTACGCTACGTGTATTTTCTAGGTTTATTCTTATTTTGTAACTTTACACGTGGAATGGCCGTGTATCAACTGACTTTTGTTAAGAGTGAATGTTATATATACCTTCGAGCTTATTTTTTAAATTTATTATTTTATTTTATTTAACACGTTTTCTATTATGATATTTCAATTATGAATATTTTTTTTTTCTTTTCTTCCTTGCATTCCTGCCAATCAGCTGCTCAATATAACCTTCCTTAGCTGTGATAATAGAAACTTAGCTTTCCTTCAGTATGTATTTGGATGGCTTCGTAAGATGTCTACAGCAACATTTTTTTTTTTTTTTTTTTTTATTATTTCTGCATTTAAGTGATCTTATTTTTCTTCCCTGATGATGCCTGAATTGGCGAAATGTTTGAAAGTTAATTATTCACCGGTATGTTTGTAGCCTCATGGCTTTGTGGTTTGGATTTTTCCATTTATAATATAATTACCTTATGTCTATTTTCTAGGTTTATATTTATTTTGTAATATAAAGACGTATATGTATAACAATAAAAAATTTTCATCACATAATACTATTAATCAGAGCAATGCCTTTTAACGACTAAAGTTTCATATATTTAATATATACTTATATCTAAAAATATATTATAAAAATTCAATTATTGTACATGTTCAATATTTATAATTCATTCTCAAATTATATCATATTACTATTTCAAATAGTCCGTATGAGTTAACCAGAGAGTTTAGACGGTTATACAACGCCGAATTGCGTGAACTGTATCCGGGTAATATAATTGAGGTAATTGCATCGCGTCGAATCAAATGGGCTTGTAAAATTGTTTGGCTTAGTAAAGAGAGAATTCCTAAAAGGTTAATATTTGCTTTAACGAATGGTAAACGTCCGAGGGGTAGACCGAAGCGAAGGTGGGAAGATTGCATTAAAGCCGATCTGAAGGGACTGACGGTGGAGGGAGGTGTGTAATAAGCGATTGGTGGTGTCGGCATCGAACCTTTGGGTTCGCTAAGCCTTTATTATTTTTATTATTGCTATTTCAAATAATTATCTTTCAGTGAAAACATTTTTTTTATTATTATTTTTTAAAAATTAGTACGTATCTTAAAAAAAAATTGAAATACTCCCCTTCCTACCTTACTGACAGATACTTCAAAGTCAATCATAACAATGCTTATTCATCTCTTTTTACTCAGTCTGCCGTGTTCTCAAGGTAGTATCTAGGTCTATTCTTTACACGTTAATAAGCTGACCTCCAACCCAATCCCCACTGCCCTACCACCCCCTTTTGGGGGGCCCCCCCCCGGAATGGCACGTGTATCCTATCAGTAAATAACGATCCTTTAATACAGCCAAACTCTTCATCACATATCACAAGCTGAAGAATGGTGGTCAAAAATGGAGAACTAAAAATAACTTCCCACAACTCATCAATCCCTTTTACTTCCGACGTAAACCTATGACTCTTGTCCTACAGTATCCTTCATAATAATCACTTATTCCTGTTGAGCAAAAACGCTACTTAGGATCCACTTGACAACCGACTCACTTGGAACCCATCCCCCGCCTGAAAACGACTCGCAACGCCCGACGTTTCGACTACTGCCTGCATTACTAGACAAACGATCTCCGCTTGCACTCACATTTATAACAACGATCGTATTATGACAAAAAAAGGACCTATTTGGGATTACGGAATTGAGGCTTTGGGGTAAACTAACCCATCGGAAATTCTTCTCGTATCAATCCTTACAATCCAAAAATCCTCGTAAAATCCTCAACGCTCTTACTTTGTCACCAATAAAATCATCCATAAAGACCTTAATGTACCAATGTTTCGATTTGCCCAATCCAGCTATCCTTCCTTCCATAACAAACTGAGATCATCGAATCCTTCGTTCAAACCTTGCCTACCTCCTCGATCCTGATAACCCTCGAGGCGTCCTTGAAAAGAAGATGGCTCGGGATCTATAATATCGAACTTTAATTTGAGTTCTACAATGGGTAGTGTCTCTTCCTGTTGTACATGCCAAGTTTACAAATTTCTCATTTATACTTATTGTATTCTCTATGTAATACAGTAGAAAATTCATTGACACTAAACAAAAAAAAAAAAAAAAAATTCTCCCCTTTATATAAAAAACAGAAAAAAAAACTAATAAATGGTCTTATACATAATTTGAATCGTATTTTTAAAATATTAATTTCGTATCTACAATAAATACCAAAAATTAATTAGCATAGAGGCCTTAAATAAATGGGAGTTTACTCTAGATTAAAACAACAATATTCTTTTGAAACTGTTGTTATACACTGATGTTTTAGTTACTGAAATCACAAAGAGGATTGTACACTAGAGTAAGTTGAAGACTCTCCAGGCGGACTCACCAGGCTCAGACAGGGCATAAATCTGGGGTTGTTAAATCAGGCTACGCAACCCGGATAAGATAACACTGCACGCGAGCGGGTGCTAAGAGAACCTTTCAATAGGATGCAAATCTACCTCGCCATCCAGAGTAGTCTAGGTGGAATCATTCATCACTCATTCATTCATTCGAATTGAATCTATCTCCATCCATGTGACGCAACTAACAGAGGGTATTCTTGACATCACATCTTTAAATACCACATTTTATGTCGTAGGCAAATAGTGACAAACGGTACTCCGAATTTTACAATTCTCTAAGAATTGTTTTACGATATGAGATAAAATCCTCTTATCTAATCTCGAATTACAAAACGTAGGGGGACACAGTGACAACTTGCAGTGGTCACAATGTGTAAGCTAGTGGCATTGGTGATAGTGGCGTTGTCACTAGCAGCTGTATCCCAGGCACAGATCAGGTAACGTAAATATTGGTTTAGAGACACTGCGCATTGTTCATATTTAGGGTTTTTATTTATTTATTTATATCAAGCTTTAGAAATTTTCAATTTCAACGTTTCAATTCCTTCAGCCTTCCGGATATACTGTTTTAAAAAACGTAGGACTAGACATCTGTCACGGATGCTTCCTTGTTAATTTTTAATCGTAGGGAAAAGATTGTATAAAAAATATATACTACTTTCTTCTTTCTTAGCTCTTTGAAACAATAGAATAAAACAGTTCTTGAAATATAAGAAAGAACTGTTTTATTTAAGTTGGTGTAAAATTCTCAAACCAATGACTCATTATATTCACACTACATTTATGATACCGAAATATGTACTGATGACTTTTCTCAGTTAATATAACATTTCTTTCTCTGAAATAAATATTTTATTTCTTGATTTCTCGAATTTTTTCTCGTATTTCTCGAAAGAAAACAAGTGAAACCACATTATTTTATTTTAAAAAATACTATTGCTGTATTTGATAAAGATTTTTTTTATATAAAATAATAATAATACATCCTTTCAACATGAAGGCTAATACATATTATGTTTTTATGTTTACAATCAAACCATTTATATTCAAGCTAAAATAAAATAAATGATTAAAACACTAAAAATACCTAAGAATTAATAAAAGAAAAATGATTTAATTTGGTCCTCCCTAATTTTATTTTTAACTATTAAATATATACGTATGTAATTGGAGAAGTAAGTTGTATCCCTGTGTCATGAAATCAGTAATACATTAAAAAATAATTTGTCACATATTCACATCTACAATAAATGAACGCCGATTATTTTATTCGATGGTTATAAAATAAGATAATATTTTTTTTTTATATCTAAATAGTAATATATTTCTCTACTGATTAATAATACTTGTTATTAAATAAAATTAAAATTAAAAGTGTTTACAAATTTTAAACTTATTTAACGAAAAACTGCTTCATGAATTACTAATTATCTATAATTTTTGGTGGTTTATTATGAGTAATCTAGTGCTTATACCGTTTTAATTCCGACTCGCTCTTAGTAATTTTTTTTTTCAAACATTAGGCTTATTATTAAGTATGCAAAAAATCTGAAAGACTTTGAAGAGAGAGGATATAAAAATGCTAATAAATGAAAATCATTTTGGTATTTTATGATTTATTAATTTCTCCCAAGTTACTAAATAGGACGAGGGGCTAACTCTGCCCTCTCTGAATAAAAATTAAAATTTAGCTGTATTTTAGTAAATATAATTTGAAATTTGAAGGAGTTGCCAACGGCCCTGCAGGGTAGAGCCTAATGATAAATAAATAAAAACAAATTTGAAATTAATATCATTATCTCATTACATTAACTCATCTTATAGACTTAATTAAGGCCAATGCAGAAACAACTTAAGAACAATTTCGTTTGAAATTTGTTGCCTCTGAATTCTCCTTTCCGAGAAAAGTGCTTCCTTTGACCGTGTTTGTTAAGGCCCATCATCACATTAATTTAATTTCATAATCAAATAAAAGACATTATAACTATAGAGTAAATTTGATTTATATATTATTTACTAAAGAAAATAAATCTATCAACATCGTTTGTGAACTTTTTTTTTGAAATAATTAATTTTAAAATGGAATTTTATTTTATTTTAAATTACTTTTATAGTTTATTTCATTCAATTGTTTAGTATTCATTTTCAAATAAATCCTGCAAAGTGTCATTAGGTCGCCACAGCTCATGGCTTAAATTAATTAACTTTAGCGGTAAATAAAAATAAACAAAAAAATATGATAATTAATTTATGAACACTTTATTAATAGATATAAAATAAAAAGGTAAAAAACTTGGTTTAGTAATAATTATATATTTAAATGCCAAAGATACATCCTTAAGCAACAATTTAAAAAAAGAAAAAAAAAAAATATATATATATAAATTGTTTAAATTAAATAATATTTGGTTTTGGTATGATCCCAAAAACTAAATATTCCTTGTACCTTCATGTATCATATAGCATTCGATTAGATTTTTATTCGCCTATGTTTCGACAGTATATGATGACAGAGGAAAATATTAAGTGTAATCAAATCACTATACTCATGCTAAAAAATACAGATATATATATACATACTTTTAATAGGAAAAAAATAAATCTGATTTCAGCGCTTGATTAATAAATACTGCTCAAAAACTTTGAATACCGCAGCTAGCTCATGGAGTCCATGAGGCGGCAGGTTTTCTCTCCCCCCACATCGTATATATCATTGAATAATAATTTGCAACGATTTTGGATTTCACGTATCATATAAAATCTCAAATTCAAGGTATATATTTTTTTTCATGATTGAGAATAATAAACCAACACCAATGAAACAAACTTTACAAAAACATAAATTGGAAATATAAATATAATTTAAAGATAAAGGAAAGAGAGAAAATGTGGGGATGTAAATTTAAAGATACAGTCAATTGATATTAAGATTATCAAATACAACATTTAGGTTAGTACTATCAATTGTATCTCCAAAACAGATAATAATATTTACAACATAAACTATTTTGTTTTTAAACACTGCATTGTTTGCTAATTACTGTCAACAGATAACGAACTAAGTTATATCATGATTATTTGTTTTTCCCGAAAATTCGTTAAATTTTGGATGCTTTCTAGAAAAAAAATTTATGTTTTGACGTATAAATAATGTAATAATAGTCATTTTTCAGCGCCATCATATAAATCTCAATTTGTACTGACTATAGCTGTCCTTGGGTTCTGTCTTCTTTATTAATATATTATTCATTCAATGGAACAAATAATGCCAACTCGGAGAGAAATAGTGCTAAGACGAGAAGAGGGATAAATCATGCATAGTGCTTCAACCGTCTGTCACGGAGTGGGCCATAAGTTTTAAAGGAGGTCTTGCAAGGGACTAACACGTAGGCCATGTCCCAACACAGACAGCTGGGATGTTCTTCGTTGGATGTCCTTTAACAGAAACAAAAAGAGTGTGATGATCATCTAATCCACCAATTTAAGATGTTTTTTAAAAACTGGGCGATAAAAAAATTTATATGTGTCAATTAATAATTAATGGTAATCAAAACAATACATGGTTAACAAAATCTTACCATATCAATCTCCACCTGCCGATAGTTGACATACCGTCGCATAGTGCGGCGGATTATGAATCTAGCGGGATAAAAGTCTAGAAGTGATGTTATTGAAAATAAAATATTTCCTTCATCCAAACTTTTTAATTCCAAAATTTTACTCATCCAGACTGATCTGTTATTGTTAAAAAAAAGTCATTTAATGACTTCTAAACGATTTCTTGTATAAAACCAGTTTTATATTTCATGAAAATCGTGAAGTCTAAATATAACTAAATCTCCTAGATGAGAGATCATGACTAAGGTAACTGTGCCAAAATAGAAAAAAAAAGATACCGTATGCTTCTGCTAGGTACCGTACTTTCCAATTCCTGGCATGTCATTGCTTTTACAGAGGTCATGAGAGTTAGTAATTGCAGTAGGAAAATTATTTTGAAAGAATAGATGAGAGGCTTATCAAAATATATTTACTATAAAATTAAAAATCATGGACCAAATTCAAAGTATTCATAATTCAAGGCAAGTAGAGAAAAGATTCTGAAAACCTAAGAAATATATTTATTACCCAAAATAATTTGCAATTCAGTTTAATAATGAATTTTTACTGAAAATATACAAAAAGAATTTTGATCAGGTTATTGATTGAAACGCATAAAATTAATACACGCATAAAATCAGTACATTTTACTAATGTAAAAAAGTAATGAATAATTAAAATATTACCTTATCATGGAACAAAGTACAGATTTCTTTAGAATAAATATTTTGCTCATAATTTCAAGTGATGTTCGAATAATTTTTATCTAAAAATAAAGTTTGATGACAATGTAAATATTTATAAAATGACCTTTAAGAAAATTATTAGATCTCATGATGCTACAAAAATATATATATTTTTTTTTCAGAATACATCTGAATCGTCAAGAAATCGCTTTACAGCGAGAAAAAATCAAACCTTACGGACATGTCAACCTGTTGAGGAGTGTTGGTGTTCCTCAGATTATTAGGAACTACAAAAATGTAAATATAATAATCTACTTTAATAATCAATATAATAATCATAATAAGTGAAATTAAAAAGGAAAGAGATGGTCCGGAGTGGCGGTCATAAATAGGCTGAATAGTTTTGCCACTATTTAGCATATTTATGACAGCCACTCCGGACCATCTCCTTCCTTTATAATGCAACGGTCAACTATTAAATATTCAATATGTCTAAGTGAAATTAACTTAAAAAACGCTGCAAATTATTTTACAATAGTTTATTATCTATAAACAATTATACATCTAGAGTAACATTACCTTCCGAGTTACAAAGAAAAAAAAAAACAAAAGGTGATTCCAATTATTGGACGAAACTTTTTTTCTTTAATCAATAAAAATATTCTAAAAAAAATAGCATTAGTTCAGTAACACATTTAAAATTTAAAAACCAAAACAAGGATATAATATTTAGAGTAGAAAACATTTTTAAAAAACCGGAGACCATATCTTTGCTCCTAATTGTCCGATTTTAACGATTTTTTTTTTGTTTTTTAGGAAATTTCGTAAACTCTTAAAAACTAAAAGTAAAAACTTTTCGAGTTATTTGGAATTTAATTTTACCATCCCTCGTAATTTTTTTTCCAGCTTCTTTTCCTTGAATTATGTTATATAGATAAATTTAAAGGGCGTCGATAAAATGACTTTAGCGAAGTTTCATTGAAATCTGTACATTCGTTTAGGAGCTACAATCTATAGCGACGCAGGTTTCTCTGCCGCCATTTTGAAAGTTAAATGCGGAGAGTAATGTCGATGAAGGAGGATCATCCTCGGCTGACCTCAGGTTTTATATCAAAATTTAAAAAAAATCGGTCCAGTAGTTTCGGAGAAAATGCGCGGACGGCGGACAGCGGACGGACAAAAAAATTTTATTCGTTTTTCGAATTCTACGCATCTCGAAACGTGAAACCTCAAATTTTGATAGGGGGTTATGTTTTTGAATTTTTTGGTAGATCACAATGTTTCATTATTGAAAATAATAAACCAAAATATGTAAAAACCACGATATCTCTAGTAATAGTGCTTTGATTTCGATGAAACATATCATCACAATATCAACAAACAAGTAAAAACTTTTCGAGTTATTCGGAATTTAATTTTACCATCCCTTGTAATTTTTTCCCCAGCTTCTTTTCGTTGAATTATGTTATATAGATAAATTTAAAGAGCGTCGAGAAAATGACTTCAGCGAAGTTTCATTGAAATCTGTACATTCGTTTAGGAACAACAGTCTATAGCAACGCAGGTTTTTCGGCCGCCATTTTGAAAGTTAAAGGCGGAGAGTAATGTCGATGAAGGAGGATCATCCTCGGGTGACCTCTGATTTTATATCAAAATTTGAAAAAAAAAAAAAAAAAAAAAACGGTCCAGTAGTTTCGGAGAAAATGCGCGGACGGCGGACGAACAAAAAAATTTTTATTGGATTTTCGAATTCTACGCGTCTTGAAACGTGAAACCTCAAATTTTGATAAGGGGTTATGTTTTTGAATTTTTTGGTCGATCACAATGTTTCATTATTGAAAATAATAAACCAAAAATTAATGTTTAATTGATATTTTCAATAATTAAACACTCAAGTCATCAATGCTTGATGTTTATTTTCACTTATTATTTTTAAAATTTCTAGGCCTTTCTTGCTTTAAATAGTTTCTCAAATAGAACGATAAAAATCATTTCGGACATTTCTAAATTATGTAATATGATATGAGTTCAACGAAAGATTTCAAATAGCTTATTATTATTATTGATTTTAATATAATACATGGGTGAATGTAAATTATCGATACCTACATAAAAACATATTTATATTTTTTATGTCTAAAAAAATGACAACAATATCTTAATTTCCATTCCTAATAGAACAATAAACCCCTTCCATGGGAGGTAATTTGGTATATTAAAAAAAATACTTCTTCTATGAAATAATTTGCGCTTATTGTATAAAATAATAACTTAAAATTAAATTAAATAAGCATTTTCTTTTTTTTTTTCTTACCCTCCAAAATGTTTATTGAAACAATTACATATATAGTATACAATAATACAATACAAGCATTTTCTTTCATGCATGTTTACATTTAAGGTGAAATCATATTTAAATATATTGAGAAAGGAAGTATTTTTCAAAACATTTATTTTCATTTATCTTCCACTTTGGCATAATAGCTGAAATAGTTTAGAATTTTCTATTTCGTATTAAACATCTCAACATAAAATTGTATTGATTTTAAACTTGTAAAACTGCAAAGTTCTAGAAATGTCTACTAATTTATTTAACATCATTCTTAGCTATCATAAATTCTTAACAAGGTTGTAACTAATATTTTTACATATAAATTAAATTATTTTACGGCTGTAAACCACAAAAGTTATTGAAATTATTCATAAGTGGTAACTAGTGTATTTTAAGTATTTATTTAAAGGATTTTCCTTTTTAAACAGCAAATCTCATTTAAAATTACTTAATTATTTTTACTGAGATTTGAGATCAAAAGTTATTTCACAGGTTATAAATCATATTCATTTCTATGGTTGAGGAATCATTTAGCATATTGACAGCCACACTGCAAAAGCATGCAAGTGTAAAACAAAAAAAAATTATAAAACGAAATAAACTGCGTATTTCTTATTTCATGAAGTAGATTTTCCGTTCAAATTTTATTGCATGTTTTAGACGAATATGTGATGTTCCGAATAACGTTTTTAGTTTGTACTTATTAATATTTCCTAAACCGAGGTTAAAGTTAATTTAAGATTAAAAGCATAAAACTGCACATTCTGGTTAAATTGTACTTAAAGCCTTTTGTTGTATGGCTGTCGAAATTCTTTTGGCAATTTTATTTTTTATTTTTTAGACATATAATATTCTGTCTCGTGGACAATGATTATAGTGATAAATGAACACATTCACACCATACTTACAGAAAATATAAAATTAACAAAAGTAAAATAATAACTATATAATAATAAAAAAAACTATGTAAAATAAAAAATAAAATAACCTAAAGATAAGTAAATTAAAAACATAAAAACACAGTCATACCTAATATAATCAATGTATACAATCAGGAAGGGAACCCAAAGCCAGGCTTCTCCCTCTAACTATAAAAGGAAAAGCAGCTCTAACAGATCCCTGCGCTACTCTTTCAACCAAATCACTGTTGATAAAAGTTGGCAATTTAACTAAAATCGTATAGTACATAGGCGGAGATTTTTTTATCATTAGATTGCTGTAAGGTTTGGCAGTGATAATGGAGGGTGCAATAATAGTTTATATTTTACTGTGCTATTTGTATTAATAAGTAAATATTGATATACTCATATACATATATTCAACTTAATTTTATAGATTTTCGAATTTCGCAACCTAAATAATTAAAGATCAATTATTTCTAGTGCTTGATTTATGATGACCAAGCAAAAACGTTTGGAGACCGCAGGTTGTCCAACTATGGCATAGGACATGGATAAATAATTGTATAAAATTGTAACTAAATCCTGTTGTTCTTCGTAGGTGTACTATTATGGCTACATTAGACTGGGAACACCCGGGGATTTGGTGCGAGTGATCTTCGATACAGGATCTCCAAGCCTATGGGTTTACTCAGGCTCAGGATGGTCATCGTGGTGGTGCATACCCTGCTGTAGGTACAAGAGCAGTTTACTATAACACTAATCATTATCATTGTAATAATATGTAAAAATTAATTTGTGTATAGCTCAACATGAAGATGATATTGGCCCTCTCCATTGTCTTATCTCACACATCCTCCCAGTCAGTTCATAGCCTACATGATGTTATATCAAGTCCTTCTACCTATATAAACCTTCCATGAAAGTTTCCGCGAATTCTAATAATATCTCTAGTCCCTCTTTCGGGCATAATATTTCCGCATCAACAACCTAATTACATGCTCCTGCCAACTGATGAATTTAAATCGGAACGGAATGGGGAGTTCAGAGAGGGAGGTTACCGTCGTTTGTTACCAAGTAAGTTTTATGTAAGATCTTTTGAAAAGTAATTAAATTCCCTATATGAAAAAAAAAGTTGACGTTTAACCAGTAATATATTATAAATTAACGGTGTAATATATTGCGTTTTCATATTTATTTATTAATACATAACATAAAATTGGACATAAAGATTAAATTTGCGATCTGCAAATGTCTTTGCAATGAGCAAATTTGTTGACAGTTTCACAGCGTCCTATCACAAATATAAGAAACAGATCAGTTCAGTAGGTTTCTTGGCCACCGCCTACGTAATCGTCGAGGTGGGCTGTACGGATTTCTAGTGCTTTTAAGGTTTCCTGTCAGAGGATTTGTGTTGTAAGTTAGTCTTTAGCGAAAGTTATTGTAGTTTTCTTTTGCAGTGTCTAAAATTGCGACATTAAATGACGAGTCAACTATTCTTCGTAAAATTTTGGGTTGAAAAGTTTTTTTTAATATTTCAAAAATATTTTGTACGTGTTTCTATGGAAACCCGTTTATTTTTCAGTAATATTTCTACCTCAACCAGATAAGAAAAAGTATCGTAATCAGATTACTTTGCATTTTTCAAAAAATGTTTATTTTTTTACTACTGTTACTAATAAAGAAAGAATTGTAACTGGATCAAAATTTTAAAGTACTGTGTTTTCAAAAGTATTTTGCACTGGTTTCAAGGGAAGCCCGTTTATTTTTTTCTCTTATTTTTTTTTTCAAATAAATTGAAACTATAGGGGTGTTCCCAGAAGGGATTTCTGGCGCAACTTTTTGAGGTAGGCATATATTGGCATATGTTTTTGAAATTTGGATGTGAACAAATTTAGACGTGCTTATGAATTTTCGGACTAAGTGACAAGGGGAAAACATGTAACAGACCGCAGCAAATGTAATTGTATATGATATCCGATTTTTCTAATTCTACCTTAGCTTGCTCTGTTTTAAGAGAAAGTGAGCAATAAAATATCTTGAAAGAAGGGGGGAAGGTATGTTGTTGTGCCATCGACTTTGTGAGAATAGGGGATGGGCACCCCTGAAACTATATATTCTCTGAATATTCAAGATATTTTTGTACTTTCTTAAAAATCTGAAATTTGTAAAGCTTCAACGTTTTAGTTGTCTGTCTGAAATCGGTAGGAAAGATGTGTGAGCGAACACACCAGATTTTAGAACTAGTAAACTTGTCCTTAAAAGTATTTAGGGGATGTTTCAATAGAAACTCATTAATGATTTGTATTCATTTTACTTCTATCCGTTTTCCCTTAATATGGTGTCAAGGTCAATTATTCTTAAAGCTAATTAGTCAAGGGCTCATCGTTTTGTTTATTTTATAATTTTGATGAATAGCGTTTTTACTTGAAATAGAGCAATTTCCAAGTTCTATTTTGTACTTCTACAGCCAATCCTTATGTCAACATTGTACTCCATTTGTTATTTTTTTTACTAAAACAATTTTGATATTGAGATTGCCAATGGAAGTACAAAACGAGATTTGAAAATAGGTCCAGTGTTGGCAAAAAAGTCTCTTAAAATTATAAAATATATAAAAATATAACCATCAAATTTATATGAAAGCACTTATATTATACTTGTAAAGCAAAGAATTTTATTGGAAATTTATGTTGGTTTGTCTGTAATTGGTAAGAATGCCGTGGGATTGCACACACAAGGTATTTTACACTAAATAGATAGGTGATAAAAATGGAACTAGCATAAAAATGTATATAATGGTCAATAACACTCCTAAAACGTTGCAGGGTTCCATAAGACCTACCGGCACTCATATTCTTCAACGTACGTGCCTGATGGACGTCCAATTGAAATAAGTTATGTATCAGGATATATGAAGGGATATTCCAGTCAGGACGTTTTGTCGGTAAGTAACGCTTATGGAAAAGTACATTTTAAAAACCGCTGGATTAAAAGGAATAATTCCTGAATAAAGCTTGACTCATCTTAGATTTTAAAGATTGTTCTGTAGCGGTTGTTCCTATTTATTCTGGCTTTGTAAAGTTATTCAGCCATTTTACCACTTGTGATAAATGACATAAATTATATTTATTAGAAGAGAAGTAAATAAAAAATAAAAAAATCATATTTATTTTTATTTCTTTTCTCCAACGTTTTAACAAGAACGGATAAGACATAAAACATGTTTAGCTACGAAAACGGAGATGATTTAGATGATCAAGAAGTGGAAGGGAATACGATTGAACAAATAGAGAAGTTTAGGTATTTAAGGTCTACGATAACTCACAAAACGAAATTGAAGAGGAAGTTGATTGAAGGCGGAAAATGCTTATAACTGTTTCTGTTGAAAAAATAGAAAATTAGAATTTATGAAACCATTACCCTACCTACGGTCCTTAATGTGTGTAAATCTTGGTCGCTTCTATGAAGAAATGAGCGTCTCAAGGATTTGAAAACAAATTGTTGCGTAGAACATTCAGACCAAGGAAGGATGTCAACAGGAAAATTTAAATGGTTGCATAACATCGTATTGCGTGAACTCTACTAGTTAAAACAATTACGCTGATTATATTACGATGAATTAAATGGGTGATTAAAATTCTTGGGATTAGTAACGAAAGAATCACTAAAAATTTAATATAAGCTTTGTGGACTGTTAAGTGTCCGAGTGGTTGACCGAAGCGAAAGGGAGAAGATTGCGTTCAGGCTGATCTATTGGGGCTGGGTTTGAACGGCGGTGAATAGAAGTATACAGACAACGATATATGGTGTAGCTTTGGGTTCGCTAAGCCTTTTTTTAAATTATTATTATTAATAATGATTTCAAGTATGGTACTATCATTGGATGTTATTAAGATTATAGAATACTAAATAGTTCACCGTTTTAGAGGAAGGAGATGGTCCGGGGTGGCGGTTATGAATTGACTAAAATAGTGGAAAACTATTTTACTTCAAGCCAAAATTTCGACCCGACTTTGCAGGTCTTCTTCAGGGCAGTGTATTTAGCAAGACGTTTTAGTTAAAACAGAGGAAGGAATGTTATAAGTAAAGAGCGACTCAAACTAAAAGAAGTTTCAGTTTAAACTTAAACTCGTTGATGAACGCACCTCTCTGAAGAAGACCTGCAAAGTCGGATCGAAACGTTTGAAATAAAAGCTAATATTTTAGTTTATTTATGACCGCCATCCCGAAACTACCTCTATCCTCTAATAAGATTATCACAAAATATTAGATTTAATTGAAACGCTTTGGGACCGTCCTGGGACCAAATATTGCTATAATAAGTGGTTGTGTATAATTTCAATTTTTTTATTTCTTAATGATATTTACAACTGTATTAAATAAATACATCTAGTAAATTTGTACAAATGGATATAATGACGTGAAAACACTTGTTGAGAAACTATCCAATGGTAACACTCTAATAATATGTCTACATTAGGAGATCACGGGGACATCTTCTTTTCAGACGCCTCGGAGGGTTATCAGGAATTGCAGAGGAAGCGAGGTTAGAAGAAAGAGGGTTGGGATGATTCTGAAGTTTATTATGGAAGGGTTGATATCTGGATTGGGCCAAATCTGAAACATAAGGAATATTAAGATCATTATAGATGATTTTATTTGTAACAAAGTAGGGAGCATTGAGGATTTTACGAAGGATTTTGGATACGAGAGGAATTCGATAGCTTAGTGGAGCCCCGTAGCTCAGCTCCGTAAGTCCAAATAGGCCTTATCATAGTCATCATCATTAGTCTTTTGTAATAATTTATTAATTATACCATTAAATTGATTCAATAATAAATAATAATTTATGTCATTTGAATTAAAGTTAAATTTCCATTAAAACTATTCCATAATTAATTTCATTAAATATGCATTCATTCTTTCATTATAAATGGCAGAATTCCTGAATAACTATTTTCACTGTATAAGAAGAGTGAAAGAAAAACTATTTAAAATAAAAAAAAAATATATAGCTTATACTTATTAATATAGATTACAGAAACTAAACCCTTTTTGCATAATGTTTCAAAAACAAGCCCAAATATTTATAACATTTAGTAACACATAAGGAATGCGAAAAATTGTGTCTTCTCTTCAATAGAATTTAAACTACAGTATTGTTATAAGTATTAATTGTATTTTTATTTATAACATTCATGGTGCTTTTTTCATAATGATACAAGTGTCAATGCGCCTTCTAAGTTTAATTGCTATTATTTTTTTCTATTCATAAGTTATGTTTGGAAATACCGATATGTCTTGGATACTTGTATGCTTCATAATTCCTTTTTAGTTAATTCGTACTTAAGAAACTTTAAAAAATACGTGTGGTTTGATAGAGAAAACACTATAAAAATCCTAATTTTATTCTAGTATCTTACTTTTTTCGCAGTAGCTGTTAGAAAGCTAAGAGCTGTCCAAATTCCAACAGACTGAAGACGATGCGCTTTTACGTTTATTAAAAAAACTTGTACCACTACATACCATGAAGGATCTAGGGTTCAGTATTTTGTAAGAAAGTACTGTTTCAAGGATAACGGTTGTCCGGGGGGAGGGGGGGAGTTATGAGGCCAGGATCACGTTCAACCTCAGTTATCCCCCTTAATTAATTATTTAATTAAGAGTACCGATAATACAAATGCTGAGCGTGCCCTTGGAGGGTCTACTGACCGCAGGATCAATCTAAGGCTGATAACATCAGCTAATAGCTGACATCAGTATGATTCAAACCTGGACCTTAAGCTTAGTATCGCAGTGCCTAACCCATCGAGCTACTCCTCTCCCTTAAATTGCTCATTTTATTTCTCTATTTTATTGCTTTTTTTATTGATATATGGCTAATTAATTATTAATAATGGTTTTTATTAATTATGGTTTGACCAAGTAATGAATATTACAGTAAGCGATACTACAAGAATGTATATTTATTGCAATACTACAAATAAACCTCATAGAACAAAACTTTCATGTAGAATATGCAAAGATGGGTTTTTCCAATCAGAAACCAAAAATCGTTTTATGAATTACCCTGAAAAATAATGTTAAGAACGGGAATTGTTGTTATAAAATATTATCTAATTTATATTGTATTGTTCTTCATAATAATCAATTTTCCATGTAAGAAACAGTTTAGATTTCTTATTTTAATTGCTACAAAAATTATTATTTTTTTAAATCTATATTATATAAAGTTGATGCTAAAAGACTTGAATCGCAACAAAGTATTCGTGGTATTTTATTATTTTGAATATCATCAAGAAGGGTATCTTATTTATAGGTATTTTCTGCAATACTCGCATTCACGTATGATACCAATAAAAAGAAAATTTGTCAGCGCAGAGATTATTTAAAACAAAATGCTTAAAAATTCCAGGAAAGAAACCGGATATACTTTAATGGTACATGGAATCAGTCACAGAATGTTTTTTCCTAGTTGAAGAAACGATTTGATTACCTCAACTATTTAAGTTGTAAGAAGAACTGAAGGAAAAGAGTATTTTCCTGTGTCAAAGGGTTAATCAATATTTAAACAGGCTTCCAGCACTGTTTGCTATCAATCCGCTTTGGTCTACCAGCTTTTTGAATCAGCGGTTGACTGAATTACAATGTGCTTAATTTTAATATAAAATCCCTATATTTACACTATAGGATCTAGGACATTATCAATTAAGAAATGACTAAGACACTTGAATGATCTTGAAGTAGCTGAGAAAAAAATATATCACGAATTGTAAAAAAAATGTTGAAAAAAGATTTTGGAAAGTAGGTACTGTACTTGGGTCGTGACCACGGCAAGCTTAATAAAACAAATCTAGACCGATATATTTATTATTTATATTCAGTAAACATGCTGTGAATGTTTTGTTTTTTCAGCATTTTCTATATAGAAAATAAATAAATAATTCACAAATATAATATGGAATAACTAAAGCAGATGGATAGATAGAATCAATAAAGACGGTATAGAGCTGCGTGCAGATAAATATAAAGAAATACCCCAAGACAGCCAGAGATGAAGTGGGCTCATTAAGGCGAAAAAGATCTACAAGTCTGTAATGCCATCAGGAAAAAAAAAAATGAACTAATAAGACTTTTTTATTGCTCAGATGGGACCCTTATCAGCACGAGTACAGTTTGCAGAGGCGACATCCACACCCATAATGGATTCTTTGTGGTCCAAATACGATGGAATCCTTGGACTAGCACCTTGTTCGGGACCCAGATGCCAAGTGTACAAAGAGTTCACGCCGTCCGTCCTCAATCCCCTGATGAGGCAGCTTCCCTGCCCAATTTTCTCAATATATCTTGACAGGTCAGTTATATCAACTTACACTAGGCTATAATTATATCAAAAGTAATCGTAATTAAATACCAGTCTTCTTGAAATAGGACGAATGGAGGATATGGAGAAATCACATTCGGAGGGACCAATCCTCTACTGTACAAAGAAGAAACACTCGTCATGCACAACACGACGACATCCTACCTGTGGTCGCTACGAATTGACAGGTAAAAAGTTTGAATTAAAATTTCTAAAAAAAGAAAATGTTTCTATCTAACAAAATATAATATGCAAATTAGACTCACACGGACGTATGCCACAATATGTAGTGTTAATACAAAAAAAAAAAAAAATACACTTATAGGCTATTCATATCTTCCAATCTAAATGTATCCGTTATATCACTCCATGTTACTTCCACGTAACCAATAGAATTAAGACATATAAATACTACATGTGACTGACATAATTAGTAATCCGACAAGGAGACTTAAACGCCTGTGGATCAGGGATCTGCTACATCAGAATTTCACGTTAGGAGACCTTTGACTGGAAGGTTCACTAATTATGATTGCATTTACAAAATATGCTAAAAGGAATTGTATTTTTTTCGAATAAATAAATAATTAATAAAATTTCTGAAATAATTAAATATTATTTAATAAGATATTTTCATCTGTTCGACCACACCAAATAAGGACTAATGATCAAACTTTTCATGGTGACCACTCCGTTCTGTGTAGTAACAGAAAATCGATTCCTGCTATTGACATCATTAATCCAGTAACGGAATTGCTGCATCAACGAATATACGCTTATAATGACTGTGCTAGGAGAATAGAAAATAATATTATTCTGGGATTAAGATCTTTTAGGATAACAAAAAGTACAAAATTAAAATATTACATCTGGCTTAAGTAAAAACAATCACAAAAAATAAAAAGAAAGAGAAATAAGTAAAGAAAAAAATAGTTGAACATACTATATAAAAAACAAAAAGAAAATCTATCTACGAAACACTTGAAACTATGCCAAGACATTTAAAACTATGTACAGTGGTAAAACATAAATATTCACTTTTAGCAAAAAATAAATAAAAATACATTAAATTCATCCTAAAAATAAACTCTCTATTTCTGTAAAAAAAAAAAAAGAAAAGAAAAGAAAGCCGAATCTGACATTAAAAACTGTCTGAGTATTTATATGATGAATTATATATAAATATATCGTTATGTATTTATATATAATTCATTACATTATATATAATATTTAATTACATAATAAAATGTTAGCGAGTATCTGACTGTTTTTGGGACATGAATTGGAATATGTTTTAAATATAGACAGGGATGGGAAATGCCGAATTTTGATTGGAAGGGAATTCCAGGAATTAAAATAGCATGCTATTCGCTAAATTATAAATATAATAATCCATATAAAGTTATTGTCTCAGAAGTTTCCAGTGGAGAGGGAGCTTTGGGGCTGAAGTCTCTAAAAATAGAATATATATTCATTATCCCTTATTTGTTAATTCTGATCCAAATATATAAAATATAACAATATAAAAATATATCACTATTTTAAATCAAAATGCATGTATTTGAGTCTGACTAAATTTCAGCAGGCGTAAAAAAAATATATATATTTTTTTTATTATGGTGTGAATGTATGTACTCATTGAACTCTATTATAAATGTCCTTTATTGGGACATATTGTAATATTTATCAATAAACAAATAATCCATAAAATTATATTTTTATTAAAAATTAGCCAGCCACATAATTAAATTCTGAATCCGCTGCTGGGCGTCTGGTAATTAATCCATTTTATATTTTTTTTTTCCAGCATATTCTGTTCAACTCTTTATTTATTACAAAATCGATTTCTTTTATAAAATTCCTAAAAAAGTTATTATATTTAAAACTCAAATATAAAATTACGAAGTGTTTCATTAAGTTAGATTGGTGTAATAAAATCGCATTGTTTTGAACGTCCGATAATTAAAAAAAAAAATTAAAAAACACATTTAAAAACGACGACTTTGACATAACAAAATGTTTCGGGAATTTACACAAATTAATTGACCTCCATGAAGACCTATGCTACATAACAATATCATCTAGAATTTGGTTTTAAATAAAATCCAAAATAGGAGTTAAAACATATTCATGGAAACATTTGTTTGATAAAGAGCTACAAGTCAGGTATAAATACCGAAGTACATTACTTCACCATCTATGAAGAGAAGAATGAAAAATGACTCGTGTAGTTTAAGAAACTAAAGGTAATTTTTGGAAAATGTCAAGAGCAACTTATAAAATACAACCAGTATTTAGGATAAAATTCATGATGGATTTTAGAAATTTCATATTAGGAATCCTATAATCATGTTTAAAAAAAATGAATGAATAAAAAAACCGCTTTGGTTAACAGCATTTGGGTCGGAGAAACTTTAGCGCTGAACTACACCAAAGGGATCAACGCTTTCATCGACACGGGGACCTCCCTCATCGTTGGGCCTCCCGATGACGTTGCGGCATTGCTCCTGTTGATGAATCTGGATCCAGGTCTAGAGGTAGGTACCATTTATATTGTATCCTCATTATTTGTTTTTTTACGAAATTAAAAATAATTTATTGAGTTAATTAAGTTAAAGTTAAAGAAAATTAATGAAACTACTTGAGGATTATCCTTTTTCCTTATGGAGAAATTCCATTTAATGTACAAGTCTGCACTTTGTTTCAAATTTACAAATAATATTTTTTTTCTGGACCCCCATAGGAAGTTGGTAGTACAATTGATAATGTCATTTTTGGTACACAGTAGAGAGCGCTACAGACTCCCTTTTGTCAAATTATTAACATCCATTTAAAACTTCGTGAATTTGACGCAGAAGTCGGGGATGTTGGTACATAGTCCCCTGACATCCTATACGATGGTCAAGGAAAACTGGACATCACGCATTATTTTCCAAAATGGCTACTGATGGTCAAAAGATTATGGTTGGAAATGTTTCTCTTGTGGACTCTCGCTGGGCAACTGAAACTTGGGACTAAGCTGTTCGGAGGTCTAGAGGACCTAAGGAGGTCTGCCAACTTTGTTTTTTTACTTCCTGACATAGCCATATAAAGGAAAGAACGAAGAAGAAGAACTTCGCGAATGGCTTAATCCTATCGTAACCTAAACATTTTTTACCTTCAAAAACTCTCATAAATGGGGCGTTTTCCATCTAAGGATTGGTAAACCTTGTCTATTAAATGAGATACTAAGAACTCATGAACCATTTGTTTTCCACTTGAATCGTAAAATAATTCGATCATAAAATCGATAAAAGAATATATTGGACCGTTCGGCATATATAACCTAGTTATTTTGACAGGTTGGAAATGGAGGTCACGCACGAATATTTTTGCACGCCACCTTTTTTTTCGATTTCGTGATAAAATTATGTAACGATTCAAGTGGAAACCAACTGGATTATCAGAATTTTTCAGTTTTATTTTAATTAATTTAATTAATTAAATATTTTTAGATAATATATCGAATATTTGTAGATAAAAAAGTTTAGATTACAATAAGTTTTTCATGGAGTTTTAGACGGATGTTAATCTTAAACAAAAAAGGAATCTGTAATGCGGACTATTGATGTATAGTTTAAAAATATATGTCTTTTACATTATTTAAAAAAAATTAAGAACGAAATTATTTATTTTTCTTCGGAAAAAAACTTAATTGTTTTTCAACTAAGCGATTAAAAATTGTGACAATCCAAAAGTTTAAGGAACTGTAAAATCTAAAATATTAAAGATATACAGAAAGAAATGGCTCGATTAATAATATTATAGAATATAACAGTCAGGCCAAGTTTCATCTAAATCTTAGATGTAAGATGCCATGCTCAACGTAACATTTAATAATCTACTTATTTTGTTTATTCTTTTACAGATTCTAAGATTTTTCTTGGCTTTAGAAGCAATTATACTTAAATGAATAAATTAATTAAAAAATTATTATTTATTTGTTTTTGAAATGAATAAAAAATCTAGCTATAAAATCTTTTTCTTTCAAAGACATGAACGGAATAATGATTACTGTAATTTTTTATTGGAATAAATTAATTAGTTAATTAATTTTGGTGTATCAAAATTAAACTAATAAGGTAATAAATATAATTTTTATAGGTAGACTGTGAAACAAGGTGTGAGTTACCCCCGATAACCTTCGTCATAGGAGGGAAGAAGTACAGTCTTAATTGGAAGCAGTATGCATATTTAGTAAGTAAAAAAAAATAACATAGAAATTATCTGTATAAAGCGATAAAGAAATTAGTTAATTTTTTAATATTAACTTAATAATATAACTCATCAAGTATATATGCCAGACATTCTCCTTGGTTTTAAAATATATACTGCAATGTTTCATAATAATTGCAGATTTTGTAAATTACTGATTATTAGATATTTTGAGGCAAACAAATTATTATTCCTGGGGTGAATTAAAAAAAAAGAAAAAGAGTTCAGACGGTTACACAACGCCTAATGACTTTAATTTTATCCAGTTAATATCATTGAGGTGAATATTTGTAAAATTGTTGGACTTGGTAAGGAAAGAATTCCTAAAAGGTTAATATTTGCCGACTGGTAAACGTCCGATAGTTAGACTGATGCGAAGGTGGAAAGATCGCGTTAAGGCCGATCTGAAGGGATTGGGTTTGGAGGGTGACTGGTGGAGGGAGGTGTGTAAACAGCAATTGTTATTATCGGCATCGAACCTTGGGGTCCACTAAACCTATTATTATTGATAAAATTTCACCATTTACAAGTATTAAAAGGATATAAAAAAACTTCATTACAAAGCATATTCCGATATTTTGTTTATATTTATTTAAGAAGAAACATAGAGATAATGGTTTCATGTTCACTATTAATTTGATTTGTTTTTTTGTAGACATATAGTTTTTTTTATGTCCGTAAATCCATGTTGGTTGCTATGGGTATGTTATAATCTTGTAATTTTAGCTTTTTTTTTTTTTTGTCTGTTTCTGAAGTAATATTGATTTCGTTACTCTTCTTACGGTTCTTGATGGATGTAAAAGGTTTTTGATTAACGTCTTAAGGTTATTGAACTCTGTTTTTGGACGAAAAATGATGAGTCAACCGGAGAATTTTAGCGGTTACATAAAGCTTAATTCTGCGAGCTGTACCCTCTTAATATAATTGAGATGATTAAGCAATTAAATTGTGCATGTAAAGTAAAATCGCTGAGCTTAGTAACGATAGAATTTCTAAAAAGATAATATACGTTGGCCAACCGGCAAGCGTCCGAGGGGTAAGCCGAAGCGAGGGTGGGAAGATTGCGTTAAGACTGATCTGGCGGGGTTGGGATTATACGGCGCTCGGTGGATGGAAGAATATGGAAATCGATTAGTGGTATCGACATCAAATCTTCGGGTTCGTTAAGACTTATTATTCATTTTCATATTAAAGTTTCTGTGTTTATCCGTTATAATTAAACAACATTTAATGAATATTACAATAATTATTATGAATTAAAAAAATAATTAGAAAAAAAATGAAGCTTAGCGAAATCTGAAGTTAGTTTCCTCGTCATCTAGGCTTTTTTATTTAAATTCAATTACGTTTTAAAACAAAAATTTAATTACGTCTGTTTTTAACTGTTCTTCAACGATAACTACTAACTATTTCTAGGATTCCAATAAGCAAATAAATAGGAAAGATGGCTTAGAATTTATTTGTATATTTGACAATCTTTTACAATGGAAAGTTAGAGCAACACCATTTCCATGATTGCTAGGTAGATGAATGCAACTGAAAGAGGAAATAACATTTTCACAGACATTACAGATGCGACTGCGACTCCAGTCATCTGTCGAACTCCAGATAAGAACTTTTTCAAACGTAAATGAAAAAAGGAGAAAAAGAGGAGTGTGTCAGCGCAGTGGGAAATATATCCTTGCAGAGCTGATGAGTATTCTATTGATTTTTCTGGCATCAGTGAGGAGTCATAGAGAAGTAGAACTGAGCAAATGAAAAATTCATTCAGGTACTTAAATGAATCATGCTTATCAGCATTAATTTATTTACTCTAGTAAAAAGTGATAAGAAGCCAAGAGAAATATCGTCAAGTGTGCAACACAGATAAATCTAATAAATAGAAAATAAATATAAGCAAAGAGGCATTTAATAATTTCACTCGGAAAAACAGATGTGTCATGTAACGCGTTGATAAGAAAAAAAAATTATAAATGGAAAATACTAACTGCAATATATTTGGTCAACAAAAAAATAAACCCCCTCTCCATCCTCCCCCTCCCCAAAAAAAAGAAATACTAAAAACATCTAAATCGAGAGACAACAAATAAAAAACAGATATAGCAGGCACTATATAAAATATAACATGGAAATAAATTTTAAAAGACAAACACTCACGAGCTATAAAAACAAATTGTGGTTTTACTGGTATTATTATTAAATCAGAATATATTTTAATTATATTACTTTTTTCATCGAATATAGAGAAAAAATTGAGAGAGGCTAAATACCCGCGGGATTTGAAAGGTGCAGTTATCAAAGAGTACATCAATCAATAGTTAAAATTACATTATATTTCAAATTAATCCAAATCATGGTAAACCACAATCGATCACAAACACAATGCAAGCAATCTCTCTTATCGATGCCTCGTGCAGTGGATCTCATTGTTTCTCATTCTAAATTTGCCAACTGAACCCGCTTACTGTAAGGTATTTCTTCCTCAACTTTAATTTCTTTTGCCCATTTCTAAAGGCTCGTTTTCTAAGTAAAATGATTCTAATTCTTGCTTTCTACAATTTATAGAGCCGGAGCTGTGAGTGTTTAAATATGAAAACCACCATGAGAACATTCGTCTAGCAACAATTTTATATCCCAGCTGCAAAACGTAAATTTATGTTAAAAATGTATCCTTCACACCCATGTTCTCTTGTTGATTCCGTCCAATAAAAAAAGTCAGGGTATGAAATGTGTTCACAGGGTGTCTGCTATGTATTATTAGCAGCCACTTCATTTACTGGCATTAAAAACCGAAAAAAACAAAAAAAAAAAAAAATGATGTGATAATTTTTATCACTCCACCATTACTATTTTATTAAGTAGCAAATACTCTAGTCCTACAATTGGCAAAAATAGTTTAAACATTAATTCTTCAAAGCGTAAAATATATAACAATAAGAACAAATATACTGGGGGAAAAAAACGCGTTTTGTGAAGGTGTGACTATTTCTCAAACTCCTGATGAACACTCAAAAGCAACCCCCCAAGTGAGCAAAGATACCCGGACCGCGGGAGCACAATCGGAAGACAGAGGACCAAGGCAGAGGCAATTAGGCGCAGAGGCGGCTGGTCTATAGCGCCCAGGTTGGGGCAATTATTTAGCAGAGCTATGTCAATGTAACTTAACAGCCTCCAAGAGACGGCTGTTTCAAACTTGCATTATCTCAATGCCTCTATCTCTGATGGCGGATCTCTTTGTGAGCATCTCTCTCCGGCTTCGTCTCCATTAGGATAATTCATTCGTCAGCTGGGGACGGAACAATGGCTTCACGAAATATCCCTAGATATTTTGGACTAAATAATTACTGTTACAGCTAAGCTCATTTCGCCTGTTCGCATGATGCCCATGTCCAAATCAACAAGACCATTCTTAGTTACAATCCTTTTATGATGATCACCTGAATAATCATTCAGACAACAACGTTTATTATTCTTTCAGTACTAGTTCTGTTAAAGGTGGGAAGACTACTCCGGTAAGTGGGCCTATTGCTCCTTTTTGCCAACCTCAGAGCCAATCATACCAATCTTAGTCTAATACATCTCAAGCCGTTTTGTTCTTCTAATGAAGTTAAAAGAACATGGCCATTTTATGGATGAATCTTCCTCTTCTAATTTTCTGTTGGAAACCAGAACTCTATATCTGATCGACGCAAATCTGTCATATTCTGTTCTATAGTGAAGGGCAGTTCCCGGTGCATATCTACACAAATTCCCTGACTTCTTAGAGCCAACTATTCCGCAAATCTTCAGATGTCTTTTAATTCTGCAGTGGCCTATTAGTCGTATTTTCTTTTTAGCTAGGCCTAGAGGAGAAGGAATTTTTCTGTTTGCCTTGTCTGAACCTCGTGCATTCCCTCTACTTCTCATCTCCTCTTCTCCATATCTAATCAAGGACCAACCTAATCTTCCAGTTTATTAGTTATTTAAGAAATCGCAACCATCTCTAAAGGGCCCTTTACACGGCGAATACCTAACTTCGTCAATATATTTAGCGTGTAATGAGTATGTAATATATTGACCATGGGCTACATTGATATCGATTTTATTGAAGCTTCTTTTTATTTATTTATTTATTAACATAAAATTGGACATATAAAAATTAAATTTGCGATCTGCAAATTTCTTTACAATGAGCAAATTTTTTGGCAGCTTCACAGCGTTTCATTACAATCCAGGAAATAGTTCAGTTGAGCAGGTCTCTTGGCCACCGCCTACGTAATCGTCGAGGTGGGCTGTACGGGTTTATGGTGCTTTTAAGGTTTTCTGTCAGAGGATTTGTGTTGTAAGTTAGTCTTTGGTGAAAGTTGTAGTTTATTTTTGCACTGTCTGAAATTGTTGGGATGTTTAAGTCTTTATGTAATCTGTCGTTTGCGACATAAAATGGTGCGTCAACTATTCTTCTATGCCCTAAGTCCAAATTGGTTTTAGTAAAACTTTATAGAGTGTTAGTTTGTTATATTGAAAAAATTAAAAGCAGGAGACTAAGAAATGTGCTGCAAGAAACGGCACTGAACTAATGATACTGAATAAACATTTTGATTCCGTAGAAAGTAAACATTGGAATCTAGAATCATTTCATTGAATTAAGGATTAAGGGTTATTGTCCTCTATATTAAAATGCCTAATTGAAAACAAACAAAAAGATTACCTATTTATTATTTAAAAACAATAGACCAATTCAAAGCAGAAATACTTTTAGATGAAAACATGAAAAAATCAAGTGGGTGGAATTTTTAGCCTGTCAGTGTATATCAAATCAGTTATTTTTTAAAAGAAATTTTCTCGTTTGTTCTTTAACTTTATGTTCGCTTGTTTTTCGATTAATCTTGGTCATATCGTTTGGTGGTATCGGTATCGAACCTTCTGGTTTTCCTAGCCTTTTCAGTCCAAATTTACCGCGGATAAAACAGCACTGCTCAGTTAGAAATATATAGCCATTTAAAATATACAAAAGTCTAACATATAAGTACATCTCACACCACCAGTTTAGCATAGAACTCCATTCCGATCATACCCCTGATGATGACCAAGTTGTTGGCTTCAATAAAATATTTTTTTTATACATTTTTTTATATTTTCCGCTAACCCGAAGTTTGTAAATGGAAGTTTTGTTTACTGTCAATCATTTCATTAATGAACCCCAAAAAAAAAAATAAATAATAATGTTTTCCAAAGGATCCTAAATTAGAATAACTCCCTAAGGGCAAGAAGTGAGTGCCTTAGGGAGACTGAAGAAAAAAATATTCTTCTCGAAAATGTTTTCACTGTTCATAAATGATGTATAAATTAGTATAAAACAAACTGAGTAAAAACTCAATATCAGTACATACATACATTATTTCTTTTACAAACTAATGTTTCAAACAATTTCCACACTTGAAAATTGGTTGAAAGATATCGATTAATGTAGATGCAGAGTGAGAATATACGGTCAGAATAGAATAAAATAATATATTTGTATTTTCTAGGTATTTAGTGCATCTTTCAAGCAGATCATAATCCATGACAATCCTCTAAACTCCAGTTGAAACAAATAATCGAAAATTAACCTCAAAACATCCACAACACATATCTTTTTTTTTGTTTTTTTTTTCAAACATCATCAAGTAACATCTAATTTATATTTAATTGATAAATACTGTTTACAACATATATTTAATTGATAAATACTGTTTATAACATATATTAAAATGATAAATACTGTTTATAACATATATTTAACTGATAAATACTGTTTATAATATACATTTAATTGATAAGGACCGTTTTGACTTACTGAGTTGAGCTTTGGGAATATTTAACAATCTAATTCCTCTCGTATCAAATCTTACTATCCAAAATCCTCAATGCTCCTTAATTCGTTACAAGTAAAATCATCCATAAGGACCTTAACGTTCTATGTGTGTTCGATTTGGTTTAGTCCATATACTTATATCTTTCATAATAAACTTCAGAACCATCCGAACTATCTTGTTTCTAACCTTGCAACCTCTTCAATCCCTGATAACCATATGAGGCGTCTGAAAAGACGGTCTTATTAGAGTGCATTTCCTTGATGTATTTTTTAGTACACTTCCCCAGACCTATGGGAAATGTAATATATTCCTAGAAACACGACAAAGACCTTCCTACTGTTAGGTACGCAGCGGCGCATTAATTAAATTAATGCTATATTTATCTAATTATTTATTAAATTATTGCAATATATTTAAAATTATTAAATAATTATACATTACCATATTCTATTAGACCGTTTTACTTTCACTAATTGTGGTCAAAACATTCAGGAAAATGTTGCATATAAAGCCATGTAGGATCCAGAGGTACTTACTCCAATCGTTTTTTATTTTATTTTTATTGAAATATTTTGTCATTGATCATATGCTGTCAATTTCTCTCTAACATGACTGTTTACCATGTACAGGATATATCGTTCGTAGAACAGACCCTTGTTTATCAAATTATTAACATCCGAGTAAAACTTCTTTAACAGCTTCATCTTATCATAACTTATAAATTTCTTATTTACGGAAAATCTCAGAAATGGTGCCTTTTCTTAATTAATTTAATTAAGGTACAAAAAACTCATAAATATGCTTTCTACTTGAACACGAAATCGGAAACAAATTGGCCTACAACAATATTGGGCCGTTTGGCCTATAACATAACCACGTGATTTTGACATATTGGGGGTTGAGGTCACACCAAACGGCCCAATATTTTTTCCCCGATTTTGTAATCAAATTATCTTCGATTTAAGTGGATAGCATCTGAGTGTTCAAGAGTTTTTAGTAAGATGTTAAATTTAGTACAAATTTTAATAATCGGAATACCATTTCTGAAAATTTTCCTAAATAAAAATGATTTAGGTTACGATGTGATGCAGCTATTTACGAAGTTTAAGATGATCTTAATAATTTGATAAAAAGGGGTCTTTACCACGGAGTACTCATTTTGCCTAATGAGCTAATGAGGCTACGACGAAACAGAAAATATGGTAGTATTTTTTTGTTTGAAATAAAAAAAAATTGTAAAGATAATAACATTTTTCACAAATTTTATCCAGTTTAATAGAATCAAATATTATTTTTACAGAGCTCAAAACCATTTTTTGGAAGTAGCGTTTGCTATCATGGCCTACAGGCGATTGATGTTGGAGGGTGGATTCTGGGCGACCTGTTTCTCTCTAACTTCTACACTGTATTTGAAGTTGGAGATCATGTCTCCTCTAGGATCGGTTTTGCACAGCTCAAATGAAGAAACAATTAGGAACCAAGCTTATAAAAACGCTTATACTTAAAAAAAAAATAATAACCAATTATTTGTCTTTGTGATTTATCTTTTTTATTTATTGTATAATAAAAATAAAACAAGTGATAATCCCTCTTGAAATTGATATGCCCAGTTATTCTCTTATGTAAAGTTCGGTTCATTGTACCACGCAATATTTCGGTATATGATAATAAATATTTATATTTTATTTTATGTACTAAGCAAGTGTACGTATAAGGAATTGCATAAACATAATTCAACTTGAGAAATAGTCAAGATTTGAATAAATTCTAATAGTTCTGTAAGTAAAGAAAAAAAAAATTAAAATAAAATTTTGTTCATAATTATTTTAGTTAACAGAGTATTTTATTATGTATAAGTTTAATATGAGTAAATTGAAATTATTTTTTTATAACTATATTAATAGCTTTGAAGTTGCTTCATTATTTCATATATTCAATTAAATAATTTGCAGAAACTTCATTGAATTGAAATTACTTTTTCATGCTTAACTTTTATCGATTAGAATAATTGAAACTAAATAAAAACAACTCTAAAATAAAGTTCTCTGCAAAACGTTGTTAAGCCTTAATAATACGGTTATGCCACCTAATTCTAGGTGTTTTTTCAACGTTCGGTGAATATAATTACTTTTCAACTTTTTTTTTTATTTTTGGCTATTTAGATTCCAACTTATGTGGATAATAATGATTTAAGTCTTACATGATATATAACAGTGAAACAGCTTTGTTAATAACATGGGGAGAATATATCAGAGGCTTAAAAATAATAAATTGCATTAACCTCGAAAAGCTCATAACTCTCATAAGCTAGGAATACCACAGACCTATTAATAAGATTTGCAGTTTCTATTTTAGCTCTATTTGTTATGTTTCTATTTATCACGTTCGTTTGAAGAAAAAAATAAATGACGATGGTGAAACGTGGCATTACAAATATCTGCAAATAATTGTAATACAACTATTAAGTATTAATACAAGTATTTTTAAAAACGTGTTTATAAATAATGATAAAAAAAAAGTGGTTATATCTTGTTACTATTTTCCACTAAACCTTATCTTGAGAAATTAACTAAACAAAATTGAAGTCAACGTCGCTTCTATATAATGCCGAAGCTCCTTCTTCTGTTGACGATGTAATAATGTTTGAAGACTCATAAAAAAAAATGTTAAATTTAAAAACAATATTTAGTGTTTATACGATATAATGTATAATAATTCATTTCTGAACCAATGGTTTACAGCTTCCAAATCGTAAACTGTAAATCACCTAACAACCCCATTTAAACGGTATAAAAAAGAATAAACCAATTATAATGACAAAAATTAATCAATCAATAATTTATAGTTTGACTGTGTCTAACTGTTCACTTTTTAAATATATTTTATTTATTTTCTAATTATTTATTTAATTATTTTATTTAATTATGTTTTTTTTCTCTTTATGCTATTTGTTCTTATTTATATTTGCATTAATTCTTTAATTAATTTGTATGGCTATTACCTAATTAATTTATGTATGTTTTCTCTAAATATGTTGTGCTATTGCTCTCTGATCTTCGTTATAAATGCCCTTTATTGAGACAGAATATAACATCTCTCTATGAACAAGGTTAAAAACAATATATTATCAGTTTCATAATTTAAAAATAAAGGTATTGCCCAGAAACGTATGATGTATATTATTTATTAACAAGGTCCTGATTATTTTAAAACAAATGTTTTGTAAGAATGGAAGGAAGCACTCGGTGCTAAACGAGGAAGGGAAGTAGAACAGCAGGACTTTTAATTAATTTTTAATTGAAAGGTACTTCAGGCTGTGGAGCGCAAAAAGACTGAGAAACTGAGAAAAAAAGAGAAAGAGAGACGAGAAAAAAAAAAACCCTGAATAACGAGAAGTTTGGCCAAGACAGGGGATCTTGAGAAGGTATCTATGCTTATTTCTCCTTGTTCATTCTCTAAGAGGAAAGCTTTTGAAGATAGAGATTTGATCGAATCAATTGGAGATAAGTCAATCTGATTCTTAAGATAACTTCTGATAAAAGTTAGAGTTAATAATTATTATTAATACATGTATTACTACTATTTTGAACGAGCTAAGAAGATGTCAATCTTACCCATCATATACAGGGTAGGATAGATCAAATGAACTCGAAAGTATTTGTTTTGGTTCATTTTTATGGGCTTCGTTTCGCCTAAGTAGTAGTAAGTAGCAAAGTAAAACAATAGTTGGCATTAATACGGTGATATAACAGAATATTTTCCCACATTGGATGCGATATATAATAAATAAAATAAAAACAATGAAGAGTGCTTAAGACCACATTGAAAAACATTGACAAGGAGGGATTAATAATATGAATTTTTTTTGTATATTCTGAAAATAATAACATCAACAATATATGCAATTATAATTACAAATTATGCTGATGAACACTGACTGAACGCCATTTCTATCATATTCTAAAAATGAAACAATAGGTAAGATAACTAAAATATACGATGAATATTTGTCATTGAAATCTACTTGTTAAATTTTTATAGCCTCCGCGAGTTAAATACGCAATAACATCCAGGGTGGCCGGTTGGGGAAAAGTTTCAAAACTGTTTTTAGATTTTGAAACCTTTGTCAACAATACAGTCTCAGGGCGATTTCGCACGATTTGCTAAATGAACCAAAATTTCTTGCTATTGTTTGACGTATACATAACGTGAACAACTATGTATATTTTTAACAACTGGTGTTTCAGCTGTGTTAGGATTCATTAGAAGTACCTATTCTTTATTCATTTTATTTTCCTTCATGCCTTGCCTTTTAGGTAATACAGAAGTTTGCAGCAGTGAATTGATCCACATTTCTGTCTAACAATTCACTGCTGCAAGTTTATGTTTTTACATTGTTATAAATGTTGTGCACATAGCCTGCTTGATTTATTTTTCTTTCTATTTTTTCTTTCTCCATCTCCTTCTCCTGTCCTGTTCGACGGCCTTACAACTACTATTTCTTCACACCCACCCAAGGAGAAATAGGTTGGAACCACAGTTTCTCTCCGTCCGCATACAAAGGTTTTAAAGTGTGGGTATTTTCTTTGAGACATCAGTTGCAGAAAGTTGCTTTCTGTTAAAATGTAGAGCCCTGTCGCACTCATCAAATCGGCCCTCAGTGCCTTTCATAGTTGGTGCAGACTAGGACCAGGATGTGTTCAGCGCTTTTTATCGATGTTTAACCATGTTCAAAAAGTTTCGCTCTAAAATCCCCATACCCCGTGGGGATCTGTGAGACCTAGTAGTCCGAGAATATCTTTCCTAGGCGCGATCCGACAGTATGAAAGAACGTATTCAGTGTGGAGTGGTCACCTACCCTCGGTTTCATTGTTCCAATATATCTTCCATATTCCTTATGGACAATATGGACCATATTTTGGGGTCTTCATAAATCCTCTCCCGAATGTTCGCTGGAAAATCCGTCAAGCCGTAATTCTTACTATTGTACTGAAAAAAGACTTCCCGCAGGAGGAATCGAGAGGAATGCCTCCTCCTAATACCTACACCACCTCATGAGACTTTTGTTTTTTCAGAAATTTTTGTTTCTTTATTTTATATTTTTATTTACATATAGCTCCTGACATATATAAATGGACAACCAATATAAAGAAATCAAATTTTTTTGTCCGACTTCGATATTAAATTGGTAATTTGAATAAACACAGCAGGTATTTGAGTTTACAAACTACACAATGTAACCCACAAAAGAGTATTTTATTTAACCACGAAGATTGATATATTAGGTAATTACACTAAGATAAGGTAATATAGTGGTTACCTTTGAGAACACCTACCCAGTTTCGGAATGTTTGTCACTAGAGGTACCTATTTCTGACCAGCATATACCGTTAGATTTGAACAAAAAATACCTGCAAACCAGCTATAAATATAAAAAAGATGGTTTCATTCCTTCTTCTATTATCTCACATCAGGGCATTATGAATGTGATGATTAATTTTAAAATTGATGCGCATGACGGGGAAACGATATAAGTTGGCCCCCCGTGCGGCCATCTTCCAAATTTTTTTATTTTTTTTATTTTTTTTTGTTATTTTAAATTTGCCACTGCGTTGGAACGCATCAAGCAAATGTGTTGGCGTTAATTATATCTTCTTGATTCCTGATATCTTCTTAACTTTTCAACAGATCTCTAGGCCACTGCCTTTTTAGTCGTCTTTGAGGCTCACCAGGTAACAGGGAGGAAGATAGAGATAGAACGAGTGGATTTGGATGATTGAGAGTAGAAGTGTGAAATGTTGTGTATTTGTTGTGTATGTAGGATTTTACTTTTGGTATGTTCATGTCTTTGTGTATGGTGTGATTTGAAATAAACCAAGGAGCATTGACAATTTTACGGAGTATTTTGGATTGTGTGGTTTGAATTTTGTTGATGTGTGTGTGTTTTGCGGAACCCCAAAGTTCTGCTCCGTATGTCCAAATAGGTCTTAGTATAGTGGTGTAGATTAGTCGCTTGTTTAGTAAGTTGAGTGGAGATCTGTAGCCTAAAAGATGTGACAGTTGTTTATATCGTCTGGTCAGTTCTTGTTTTTTTAATTTGGTGTGAATGTTCCAGGTGAGTTTTTTGTCCAAGTATAGTCCGAGATACCGTACATGTGTTTTTGAGGGAACTGGTTTATTGTCTATTGTCACAGCAGGACACGAGATTTTCCTCAGGGAGAAACTAACATGAGTTGACTTGCTGGGATTGATGTTAATTCCCCATTTCTGAAACCATTTTTCAAGGACGTGCAGGTGATTTTGAAGGGCTATTGAAGCGATAGTGGGATTTTTGTGAGAAGAAAGTATTGCCGTATCGTCAGCAAAGCTATAGAGAATAGTGCTAGGGTGCTCAGGGATATCAGATGTGTAGACAGAAAATAGAAGAGGGCTTAAAACACTACCTTGTGGTACGCCCGCAATTTGAGGAAAGAAGGGAGAAGTAGAGGAATCAATAGTAATACAGAAGAACCTGTCAAGAAAGAAAGATTGAAGAATCAGAAAGTAAGTTGAAGGAAGGTGTGGTTTTATTTTCCACAGTAAACCTTTGTGCCATACGCTATCAAACGCTTTCTC